CTGCACACTGTATATGGACACAAGTTCCGCACAATTTCTTTAAATTCCAGTGTGCATGCAGAATGTTCTTACTGTACATTCAAAAACAAAAATCAGCACAATTGAAATCCCATCAGATTATTACTAGGCAAAAATCTGTCTCATCCTCTCGCAAAAATTCTTCCAGCCTCTTTTGATTACTTGGTAGCATGCACATATAGTTCCACTGCAAACATTCTCATTTCGTCCTCTAATTCTTTCCAACAGATCAAATATAATTTCAATTACAGGGGGTTCTCCTATACCATGTGTTCCAGCAACGCGAATTGGCTATAATGTGATTGACGAATCGGGGAGCACTATCTCTAAAACGCGAACTTGTGTTGGCTATAACACCATTCAGCATTGTTTAAAAATGCAGCTTATTAAAATAGAAGAATGGACTCCAATGCTAAATTGATGGTATAAGAAAGAAATGAATTATAGTTTAAAATAATAGGAGTGCTGTTAAAGCATGCACCTTTGTGTGTAGTATTTTTGCCTAAATTTTGTTACATATTTAATATGTAAGAATTTTTGAACTTGCTCATGTAAATCATTTATACCAAAAGTTGTCTGTGTTGTAACCTGCTCTTTTCCAGCACTATTTTGAATGCAATATCACTCAGGTTTACAACGCATTTTAATCCTACAATTAACTTCAATGCCAATGGGCCATATAGGAAAGAAAGGTCAGATTCCTCTGCTTCACTTACTGGAAAATCTATCTAGAAAACTGCGCCGATGGAATGTCAGGTCAGATCAGCATTTAAACGGAAGAAGGAATTTTACTAAACATTGCTGATATGTCAATTTTGGGACAGTTTCATGGAGAGTTGCTGGCTGTGAGCTCTATCTCACACAATTTTGCACTGCTCACCTCTTTTGGATCATACTCGCACTATCATGCAGTACTGGCCATTGTTGGGATTTCCAGTTGCAGAACTCTATTTAAGCCCGACTGTCATTTTATTGCAAATACAAGATCTGATTTGTAAATGTATTGCCTCTTTGTAGCATCACCTGTCTGATAAACTGTTATTATAACTGCAGCTACAAGAATGAAGCTACACAAGTGAGGAAGAATTTTGGAAAATATAATTTTTATGTATCCTTTGTGCCCCTAAACCCTCTTTTCCTATAGGCCGCGTTATTTACATAGTGCAATATAGCAGAACCCCCTGTATTCACTTCCTTGTAATGAGACCCATTCTAAAAAGTAATGCCTCTAATCATCTCATTTTTTTCCCTCACCCTACCAAAACATACAAAACACTGAGCCAACTCCACAATCATTATTCAATTTTAGTTAGCTTTCAGACACTCCTACAAATCCTACACGCTTCATATACCAAACCCTTGTAGCTCACCTTCTTTCTTCCTGACATGCCACGTGTTCACCCCAGTACATCTCAAGTTATCCATTACAATCGCCACCTTTGCTAATTATTCCGAGGTTACTCTCTGTACTGCTGTCCTCTCCACATCACCGCACTCCACATCCAACCATACTGGTTTCAATCCATCTACATTGCAAGCATTTTGGTTACCTCTCCAGTTCGGAGTCTGGTATGGCACTTCTTTCGGAGACTTCTGAAGAAGAGTCAAATCAGAGTTAAAACATGAACTCTGTTTCTCTCACCACACATGATGCCAGACTTGAGGTTCTCCAGAATTCTCTACATTTAATTCAGATTTTCAGCAAACACCATATTTTATCTTTAATCTTCTAATCCCCAACGACTGGAATTTCACCCCTAAACCTTCTCCAGCTTGGAACCTCACTTTCATCTTTTCAGACAGTTCCAAAAGCCCAAGTCATTGACAAAGTCTTTGATTACCTGCCCCTTGATATCCTTATGTAGCTTGGCGTCATGCCTTATTTCTAAAGCTCTGTGAAGCACCTTGGGATATCTCATTACATTAAAGGCATCAGATAAATCTAAGTTGTAATTGTTATCTATGAAATCTAACACCATTATCTTAGTTCTAAAACAACTTGCTTTTTCCCTTTCTTAATTTGCAAAAATATACTTTATTTATAAATCATCTATATGTACACTGCAAAAAGTTTAAGTAAGATTACAAAAAATAAAACTTAAAAAGAAATCACATTTTTGATTTTCCACCAAAATATAACACTGGAAAATTTCCAAATATGAACAGAAACCATAATCTCCATCACAAGCTATGAGTGGCTCTAAAGTTAACAGCCCCTCAGTACAATACGGCAGAAAGGCCTTAGACATTGGCCCTTCCTCAATGTGCCTCAACATAGAAAGATGGTTGTGGCTGTGGTTGACATCAGTCATCTCAGCTTCAGGACATCTGTGCAGGTGTTCCTCAGGGTAGTGTCCAAGGCCCAACCATCTTCAGCTGCTTCAATGACCTTCTCTCCATCATAGGGTCAGAAACAGGGATGTTCGCCGATGATTGCACAATGTTCAGCACCATTCACAACTCCTCAGGTTCTGAAACAGTCCATGTTCAAATGCAACAAGATCTGGGCAATGTCCAGATTTGGGATGACAAGTAGCAAGTAACATTCGCAGCACATAAATGTCAGGCAAAAAAATACATCCCACTTTCCTGGATGGGTGCAGCTACAACAACACTCATGAAGTTTGATATGCTTGACAAGAAACAGCCCACTTAATTGGTACCACATCCATAAACATCCACTCCCTCCTCCACCAACACTTAATAGCAGTGTTGAGTACAATCAACAAGAAGCACTGTAAAAATTCAAAGATCCTCAGACAGCAGCTTCCAAATCTATGACCACTTCAATCCAGAAGGACATGGGCTGCCAATACATGGGAACACCACCACCTGCAAGCTCCCCTCCAAGGCACTCACCACCCTGACTTGGAAATACATTGCCATTCCTTCACTGTCATAGGGTCAAAATCCTGAAATTCCCTCCTTAACGGCATTATGGATCAATCCACAGCAACTGGACTGCAGCAGTTCAAGAAGGCAGCCTAGCACCACCTTTTAAAGGGCAACTAGGGATGGGCAATACATGCTGACCAGCCAGTGACACCCACATCCCACAAATGAATTGCTAAAAATGCAAATTTGCACTTTTGAATACTAGAGGAAACACTAGTTATCCATTCTGAAATGTGTCTATCAATACATTCCCTCACAGTGTATAAGTGGCTCTGAGATTAGGGTCATCATTGCAAATTCAGAGGCTATGCTATCTTTTTAGAAAGAACTTAATTTTATCGAAAAAGTGTGGGTTAACACTTGGACTAGCTTCTGATTGACTATGAGCATTCTCTGCATTTCAGATGTGTGGGCCTTTACCAATATGTACTTCAAATATGTAATTCTTTGGAGAATCAATCACAAATTTTGTTTTTAAAAACAATTTAAACAACTTTATTCTCAGATATTAAAACATTTTCCTACCCATGCTTTGCTTCAAAATCCATACTCAACTTCGCTAATCCACAGCCAATGAGGTAAACCACAAAGCTGTTTTTGCATCACCCCTGTAAGGGAGAGAGGAATTCTAATGGGGCAGTTGGCAGCTTACTTCCATATCAAAGGATATATGTTACCCAGGCAGGGAAAGAAAAACTAGGGGCAGGAAAGCAGATCAAAAGAAAGTATTAAGCAAGAAAAAAAATTCAAATTTTAAAAATTTGAAAGCCACTTTGAGCCAGAAGAAAACCCGTGTATCTTTTCTTCAGCAGTTTCTAGAACGTGTCTTTTAATCAACATTCAGACACCTTTTACAAGTGAACCAGCACCCTGGGCCTCTTGCAAACCAGTGAAAGTCGCTGGAGAAGGAAGACAGAGAAGCAGTATTCTACCCATCACAAGAATTTCAGCAACCCTCTGAACAGGAATAACTGAACTACCTTCCCAGTCATTCTCTCCATCCACAACATACTGTTATCCAGTGTGTAAAGGGAAGTTCATAAGGAGATTAGTGTTTTACTTAACGTACTGTTCATAACTGTTTCCCCGTAGCTACAGTCTAATTACATGTAATAAATAATAAATTTTATTAAGCATACAAATCTGGTGCTTGCTTTCTGACAATCTGAGTCTAAAAGACAAGTAAATTGGAGAATTCTGCGCACTTTTTCACATCTTTAACTTTTTTGACAACTCAGAATTGCACAGTTTGATTTCCAGCATGCTGCCCTAGTGAGGCGTAGCAGGTGACAGAAACAGCCAATGAGGATAATGCAATTGATGTGGTGTACATAGTCTTCCAAAGGAGGTTTGATAAAGTGTCACATGATGGTTGCCAACAAGTTGAAGGTCATAAAAAACTTGGATACAACATTGGCCAAGTGACTGGGAAAAGAAAGAGAATTTGGATGAACGATTCTTTTTCAGACTGTAAGAAGGTCAAAAATCAGAAAATGGTCACAAAGTTAAGATTTTTCACAAAAAAATCAGAGGTAACATGAGAAAACAATACAAAGCAGAAAGTGCTAGAAAAGCTGAGCAGGTCCAGTAGCATCTGTTGAAAAAAATCAAAGTTAATGTTTCAGGTGAAGTGACCCTTACTCAGGACAGTCATTCGACCTGAAAGGTTAACTCTCATTTCTCTCCACAGATGCTGCCAGACCTGCTCACCCTTTCCAGCAATTTCTGTTTTTGCTTCTGATTACAGCATCTGCAGTTCTTTCGGTTTTTATGAGGAACAAAATACTCTTGTGATACCAACAAATTAGAAACTGGAATGTGTGGCCTGAGAGCATGGTGGGAAACAGATTCAACTGTGGTTTCCAAAGGGAATTGGGTAATCGCCTGAACAGGATAAAAGTATAGTAGTGCTGTGGGGTAGAAGATTGATATGAGCTAAGATGCTCTTGCCAAGAGTCAGCACAGGCATAATGGTCCACAGGGGTTTTTCTCCTGTTCTGTAACCACTCCATGATTACATAAAAGTTCAACCTGGATCCAATATCAAACCATTCTCCAAGGTACATTAATGACAACTTATTTCTTACCTTTGCGAGGCCAGCCCTATGTGCACCCTGAGATTCCATATATGCAATATATTTCGAAAAATTCTTGAACTCTTCCATTGTTGGCTGGAAAGTCATGATTTTACACACAGATTTTGATGGAGACCCTGAGTCCTCTGTAGCCATGGTGACAGAAACAGGAATTCTTCTACCTAAAATTAAATTTTTTTTATTATTTAATGAAGTTTGAAGAAACAGATCATTTTCCATACTGCACTAAGCATTGAGTCATTAAACCAAGAGCAACAGATCAAGATTTTCATCAATACTATACGTTTTAACATGCAGAACAGATAAAATTGTTCAACTGGAATGGGAAGTATCAAACTTCAGTCTCTGTTAAAGTAGTAAAAGCAAAATAGCTGCCACAATCAAGAGAACAATAATAAAAGAAAATACTGCAGATGCTGAAAATCTGAAACAAAAACAGAAAACACTAGTGAAACTCGGCATGTCTGGCAGCATCTGTGCAGAGAGAAACGTTTTGAATCCGATATGACTCTTCTCGAGAACAATAAGCCTAATTGGTTTAATTAAGGAATAAAGTGGTTGTTAAAGAGATAACCATGTATTACTTCAACTCGTCCATGCCGACCAGATATCCTATATAAATCTAGTCCCATTTTCCAGCATTTGACCCATATCCCTCTAAATCCTTCCTATTCGTATACCCATCCAGCTGCCTTTTAAATACTGTAATCATAATCGCCTCCACCACTTCTTCCTCTGGCAGCTCATTCCATACATGCACCACCCTCTGCATGAAAATGTTGCGCCTTAGGTCTTTTTTCTATCTTTCACCTTAACCCTATGCCCTTTAGTTTTGGGCACCCAGGGAAAAGACCTTGCTTATTTACCCTATACAGGCCCCTCATGATTTTATAAACCTCTGTAAGGTTACCCCTTAGCCTCCAACACTCAAGGGAAAACAGCACCAGCCTATTCAGCCTCTCCCTATAGCTCAAACCCTCCAACCCTGGCAATATCCTCGTACATCTTTTCTAAACCCTTTCTAGCTTCACAACATCCTTCCGATAGAGACCAAAATTGCACATGATACTCCAAAAGTGGCATAACCAATGTCCCGTATAGTCGCAACATGACCTCCTAACTCCCACCCTCAATGCACTGACCAATAAAGGCAAGCATACCAAACACCGCCTTCACTATCCTACCTACCTGGAACTCCACTTTCAAGGAACTATGAACCTGCACACCAACTGCACTTTGCTCAGCAACACTCCCCACGATCTTATCATAAAGTGTATAATCTTGCCCTGATCTGCCTTTCCAAAATGCAGCACCTCACAGTTATTTAAATTAAACTTCATCTGCCATTCCTCGGCACATTGGCCCATTTGATCAAGATCCCATTGTACCCTGAAGCAACCTTCTTTACTGTCCACTACTCCCCCACTTTTAGTGTCATCTGCAAACTTACTAGCCATATCCCCAACGTTCACATCCAAATTATTTATATAAATTATAAAAAGCAGTGGACCTAGTACCGATCCTAGTGGCACACCGCTGGTCGGAGGTCTCCAGTCTAAAAAGCAACCCTTCACCACTACCCTCTGTCTTCTACTTTTCAGCCAGTTCTGTATCCAAATAGCTAGTTCTCCCTGTATTTCATGTGATGTAATCTTACTAACCAGTCTACCATGAAAAACATTGTCTAACGCCTTACTGAAAGTCCATACAGATCACATCCACCGCTCTGCCCTCATCAATCCTCTTCGTTACTACTTCAAAAAACTCAAACAATTTAGTGAGACACAATTTTCTATGTACAAAGCCATGTTGACTATCTCTAATCGGTCCTTGCCTTCCCAAGTACACATTATTCCTGTCCCTCAGGAATCCGTCTAACAACCTGCGCACCAGCAATGTCAAGCTCAGCCGTCTACAGACCCCTAGCTTTTGCTTAACACCTTTCTGGAATAGTGGCTCAACGTTAGCCAACCTCCAATCTGTCAACACCTCACCTGTGGCAACTGATGAGACAAATATCTCAGAGAGAGGCCCAGCAATCTCTTCCCTCATTCCCACAGAGTTCCAGGGTACATCTGATCAGGTCCCAGGGATTTATCCACCTTCATGTGTTTTAAGACGGTCACCACCTCCTCCGCTGTAATATGGAGGTTTTTCAAGACGTCGCTGTTTATTTCCCCACATCCTCTATCTTCCATATCCTTCTCCACAGTAAACACTGATGCACAATACTCGTTTAGTATCTCCCCCATCTTCTGCAGTTCCACACATAGGTGGCCTTGCTGATCTTTAAGGGGCCCTATTCTCTCTCAGTTACCCTTCTGCCCTTAATGTATTTGTAGAATCCCTTTCGATTCTCCTTGTCAAAGCTTTATCATGTCCCCTTTTTGCCATCCTGATTTCTCTCTTATGTACACTCCTACTGCCTTTATGCTCTTCTAGGAATTCACTTGATCCCTGCTGTCTATACCTGACATATGCTTTCTCCTTTTACTTGATCAAAACTTCGATTTCTCTCGTCATCCAGCATTCCCTACACCTACCAGCCTTGCCGTTCACCCTAACAGGAACATACTATCTCTGAACTCTCCTTATCTCATTTTTAAATGCTTCCCATTTTCCAGCTTTACCTGAGAACATCCACCTCCAATCAACTTTTGAATGTTCTTGCCTAATACCGTCAAAATTGGCCTTCCTCCAATTTAGAACTTTAACTTTTAAATCTGGTCTATCCTTTTCCATTACTATTTTAAAACTAATAGAACTATTGTCATTGGCCCCAAAGTGCTCCCCTACTGACACCTCAGTCACCTGCCCTGCCTTATTTGCCAAGAATAGGTGAAGGCTTGCACAAAAAGATAGACAGGTGGGCAGAGGGAGTGGGGTTGCCTTATTAGTCAGAAATGAAATTAAATCAATAGTAAGAAATGAAATAGGATCAGATGGTGTAGAATCTGTGTGGGTAGAATTGAGGAACTGCAGAAGTAAAAAAAAAACCATAGCTGGAATTATGTACGGGCCTCCAAACAGTAGTCAGGAGCTGGGGCGCAAGATACACGAGGAAATGAAAAGATGTGTTAAGAAAGGAAAAGTTACAGAAATCATAGGGATTTCAATGTGCAGGTGGACTAGGAAAGTCAGGTTGGTAGTAGATTGCAAGAAAAAGGAATTTGTGGAATGTCTACGAGATGGCTTTTTGGAGCAGCTTGTGATGGAGCCCACGAGGAAATAGGCAATTCCGGATTCAGTGTTGTGCAATGAGGCAGACTTGATAAGGGAGCTTAAGATGAAGGAACCCTTAGGAGGCAGTGATCATAATATGATAGAATTTACTCTGCAATTTGAGAGGCAGAAGATAGAATCAGAGGTCATGCATTACAGCTGAATAAAGGCAACTACAGAGGCATGAGGGAGGAGCTGGGAAAAACTGACTAAGAGATGAGCCAAGGAACAAAGACAGTGGAACTGCAAGGGCAGGAGTTTCTAGAAGTAATTCAGGAGTCATCCCTAAGAAAAAGAAGCATGGTACAGGAACGATGAGGCAACCACAGCTGACTCGGGAAGTCAGGGATAGCATAAAAGCAAAAGAGAAAGCATATAATGTGGCAAAGGGCAGGGGGAAACCAGAGGATTGTGAAGCTTGCAAAGACCAACAGAGGGTAACAAAAAAATAAATAAGGAGGGAGAAGATTAAATATGAGGGTAAGCTAGCCAGTAATTTAAAGGAGGACTGTAAGAGTTTCTTTAGATAGATAAAGGGCAAAGGAGAGGCAAAAGTGGACATTGGACTGCTGCAAAATGACACTGGAGAGATAGTAATGGGAAACAAGGAAAGGGCTGAGGAATTGAACAATTACTTTGCATCAGTCTTCACAAAAATTCGAGAGAGTCAGGGGACAGAGCTGAGTATGGTGGCCATCACCAAGGAGAAGGTGCTAGAAAATCTGAATGACTTGAAGGTGGATAAATCACCAGGACGAGATGGACTACACCTCAGCATTCTCATGAAGATAGCTGAAGAGATAGTGGAGGCGTTAGTGATGATCTTTCAGGAATCACTAGAGTCAGGGAGGGTCCCAGAGGACTGGAAAATAGCTAATGTGACACCCCTATTTAAAAAGGGAGTAGGCAAAAGACTGAAAATTACAGGCTGATTAGCTTAACCTCAGTCGTGGGTAAGATTTTAGAATCCATTGTGAAGAATAAGATTTCTGCAAAATTGGAAGTGCATGGTAAAACAGGGCAAAGTCAGCATGGCTTCATCACGGGGAGGTCATGCCTGACGAATCTGTTAGAATTCCTTGAGGAAGTAACGAGCAGATTAGACCAAGGAAAGCCAATGGATGTTATCTACCTGGACTTCAAGATGGCCTTTGACAAGGTGTCGCACAGGAGGCTGCTGAATAAGATAAGAGCCCATGGTGTTAGAAGCAAGGTGCTAGCATGGATAGAAGATTAGCTATCTGGCAGAAAGCAGAGAGTGGGGATAAAAGGGTCTTTCTCAGGATGGCAGCTGGTGACAAGTGGTGTTCCACAAAGGTCAGTGTTGGGACCACAACTTTTCACTTTATACGTTAATAATCTAGATGAAGGAACTGAGGGCATTCTGGCTAAATTTGCAGACGATACAAAGATAGAGAGAGGGACAGGGAGTAGTGAGGATGCAGGGATGCTGCAGAAGGATTAGGAGAGTGGGCAAAGAAGTGGCAGGTGGAGTACAACACAGCAAAGTGAGGTTATGCACTTTGGTAAGAAGAATAGAAGCATGGACTATTTTCTAAATGGGGAGAAAATTCAGACGTCTGAAGTGCAAAGAGACTTGGGAGTTCTAGTCTAGGATTCTCTCAAGGTAAACTTGCAGGTTGAGTCAGTAGTCAAGAAGGCAAACGCAACTTTGGCATTTATTCTGAGAGGACTTGAATATAACAGCAGGGATGTACTTCTGAAGCTCTATAAGGCTCTGGTCAGGCCACATTTGGAGTATTGTGCATAGCTTTGAGCTCCATATCTCAGGAAAGATGTAGTGGCCCTGGAGCGGGTCTCAGAGGAGGTTCACGAGAATGATCCCAGGAATGAAAAGCTTAACTTATGAAGAACATTTGAGGACTCTGGGACTATACTCGATGGAGTTTAAAAGGATGAGGGGGTATCTAAGTGAAAC